AAACAAAATTATTTTTCAAATAAGCAACATGGTGTGTTTGTAAATGATCCCACACTGTCTCTATTTAGCACAGAGTATGACTAATCCGTGGACATATGGAATACTTAACAAAGTTACCGCTGTAACATCCCCAGCGTACGTATCTGACTTTATGAGACTCCAGTGTGGAACCCACCAACTGCACCCCCCTGGTGGATCAAATGATCCATTGCAGCTGGCTTCCATTATACATCTACATTTATCTATCACCCGGGGGGCGGTTCTCAAGTCAAGCTGGAGGTTTTCCCTTGAGCGAGGGCAGATCACGTACCAATCACGGCCCTCGCGTTTCAAACTGTCTGAAATGAATCGCTACATCTGTAATGTGTGTAATTCTGTTTTCTGTAGTGAAAGTACCCTTAGATTATGCATCTCGAGTCGGTTCTCAGGGCTTTGAAGAAGGCCAAATAAGATCCTCTGTAGTTGCTGTCAAGACTCCTACCTTCTGACACTCCTACCAAGAGGCTGAAAGAATGGAGGCTGTTTCCGTCAATCAGCACTTGGAAGTTCTCGCTTGAAGGCGTATTAATAATTCAGTGGATGGGTATAAGTTGTCCCACGGATGAAACGACTCCTACAGTACCATTTTCATTCGACTTTGCATCTCAAGCGCTGGCATTAGTTTTTCCTCTTCCCTATAGGATCTTGTAGGGCTGGCAAGCTCTAAGCATCTGTTGCCTTGGCTTGAAGCAGCAGTTCTTGCATCTGGCATTACATGCTGGCTTAGTGTGTGCATAATGTACAAATGTAAATATTTCATTTGCATTGAAAAAGCAGCCCTGGAGTTTTCTTTTGAATATTCATTGGATTGTTCATTTTTGTTCAGGAGGAGTTATACTGCTACCAGTGTAGTTTAACCCACCAGTAGAACGTTTTTTTTTTCAGTTTCTTGATTGCTTGATGTTACACTTAATTAGTTTGTGTATTATCGTTTAAAGCCCCTGTGAGGAGTTACACAATTACTGAAGGTAATTGGTTGGTAATCACAAGGTTAAGCGACATGCACCTGCCTCAACTCTTCGCAGATGTTTGGAAGCTAATACCATAATATCTTCAAGGGAAAAGGAAAAAATACCATTTCTTATTTGTTGCCAATTATATCTTGTTTAGGTGTAACACATGGACAAGCTATTACCAACAATATTAGAAACGGAACCATTTCTAGTTTAAATACATCTTAAATAATGGCGTTTGGGTGATGTTTTAAATCTACACATTGTTATTTATGGGTTTATACAACTTTTATTTCACACAATCTGTATCCAAACTTACAGGATTAAACCTGACATGTATACACGCTTTGTGTAAAGGTATTTTCTCTAAGTTAGCTGCAGAGGTTAGAAGATAGTAATTCCTTGTCGAACTAAATAAGAGAAAGAGCGAGTGCGTGTTTCTTTTGGTAATTTTGCAGAGAAAGATAGATATGAGGGATAATGTTGCTAGGAGACCTTGACATCAGCTATTTATCCCGAAATCGTGCTGTAGCCCACGTGCTGACAGTGTGTGTGTGTGTGTGTGTGTGTGTGTGTGTGTGTGTGTGTGTGTGTGTGTGTGTGTGTGTGTGTGTGTGTGTGTGTGTGTGTGTGTGTGCGCGCTTCCTCTCCCCACTGCATCCGTGTGTCCTTGCTCCTGCTCGTACTATAAAGCCGTCAGCATCTCCTTCGCTCTCCGCTGGAGTCGAGGCTGTATTACAGTCGACTCAGCTGTGCCTGGAGAATTAACAATGGCTCGAGATCTTTCCTTTTTTTTTTATCACAGACGGATTTTCCCGGCCATAATTTTGTCAAGGTTATAGAGCAAGTATCAACTCCTACACAACCCATGTCTTCATTCTTTGATTCAAGTGACTCTTGAATTAAAGGTTTTAGACAGAATGAAAAATGCTTGAACCTCACCACAAAGACGAACAGCGGTGGAACAAATTACGCTGAAAACGAACTAATGGAAGCAAGTGGATTGATCATTGTTGTTTTTGCATTTGAGGACTGAGCTCAGAGAAGACATCTGTCTGCCTCTCAGCATACACTCTGCACCTCGATAACAAAATGCTTGCTGGGGGGCTGCTTGCTGGGGGGCTTACCTATCTCACAAGTGAGCAACACAGCATGCTGTAAAGCTCTGAGCAGCGATATTGTGGCGTCAGAAGGACAGTTTTTTTCATCCTACCCGATGTGAAGAAAATAATAATTTCTCCTCTCTCGTCCACTTTCTATTATTCTGTCCGTTATGTTCCTGCTTCTAGCTGCACCGGAATGACCACTTATCTGCAACTTCAAGGGTCTTTTCCCAATCTTGTCTCTTCCCATTTCGCCTCTGTCTCCTCCATACTTTTGCCTTTCCATTCACAAAGCAAGCTTCTTCTCTTTTTTAGCACCTAACTGCTTTCTTTACTTTTCTTACCATATTCAGTTTTTCTTCAGACACACTCACATCCTAACACATTCTCCATCCTTGGCTTTTCCTACTTTGCACCTTGCACTTTCTTCTACTCTCCTCTCATGCATCTCCCTTGCCTGATTTTTCCCTTTTGAATCTCCATTGTTCTCTCTTTCATTCTCTCTTTTATCAAACCTGAGGTCAGCGAGGACTCATTAACTGACTACATACTAGTTCTCTCCCCTAATTGACACATTTTCTCGAATCGCTGTCGTCCGTACTTTTTATCTTTCCGTCCCAATTATCCCTCCCGTCCAGTCACAATGTACTCCTCCAAGGAGCTCTCGAACTCCACTGAGCAGGTCTGGATCAATGGCTCCGAAGCAAACTTCTCTCTGCAGAGACGTGGCGACGAGGAAGAGGAAGGAGATCAGCACCCTTTCCTCACAGATGCCTGGCTGGTCCCCCTCTTCTTCTCCCTCATCATGCTAGTCGGGCTGGTGGGAAACTCTCTGGTTATTTATGTCATTTCAAAACACAGACAGATGAGGACGGCGACCAACTTCTACATAGGTGAGCAAAACTAGATTCAAGCAGAGATTTCAGTGTGCTCGGATGATGACTGTTTCATAAACTCCCAGTGCATCAACATCAAAAAGATCCTTTAGTTATTTAGTACTGGTTCCTATTTCTTTCATCTATCCAGAAACGCTTCTTTGCATGCCAATAGCGAGTTCAAAAGAATTCCAAGGGTTCACGGTCGATGCTTTCTGTTAAAAATGTTTAATTACAGGTTTCATTTTTGCCATTAGAGGGAAAGATAGGTGTCCAGATGTGTCCTGAATTAAAAAATCTAAAGCGATGAAAGTTATCTGTGTGCGTGTTTTTGAAGTCTCAATGCATTCAATTTGGAAAGTCTGATTCGAATGAAAATGTGTGCAAGTAAACAATTGTTTAACGCTCAAGAGCTCAGGGCTTAAAATGTATTTTGCTTGTTTGAGCTTATTCGCAGAGACTTCGCATCCCTGCAGAAAATACATTTGATTTCATGATGCAGTAGGCAATGAAAATGTTAAAAGTACAAACAGGGGATATTGTTGATAATTCCATGCAAGTCCAGCACCAATTTTAACCAAATTTGACAAAAATGTGCTTTCATCCACCATATTAATGTGCATAGTAAGTTGAGTGCATTAATTGAAGCAGTTTGTGTGCCTGATTCTCCAGTCTGATCCCATCAAGCGATATAAGAACTGTGTCTGGGGGTTGTCAGTAATCTCAGGTGTGTCAAGTGAAACAAGAGCAATCAAAGGAGAGCCTAAATAAATCAAGCACCTTCCTCGTGTTTCCTCTGGTTTTCTGTCCACGCTGCCTTTACTCTGAGTGATTGATTTTAGTGTTGAGAATATATGAATTATAATAATCACAACGGAAAAAATTATAAAAATGCACCTATAGCATGATACGTGTTCATAATAATCTGTAGTTTGTGCTATTCTTTGATTTACTGTTGACACCCTTTTTGTCTGTGTTTGCATTTTGCAGCGTGTCTGTGACATGAATTTGATGTTATTTGAGCATTGAATCAGTTTAATATTCAGCAACATTAGATTAGTGGCTGCACCATCTGCCAACCCTCTCAACATAATGATCCAGCTACTATAATGGGATTGGTTCAGCTAATAAAACAAATGAAAAACAAAAACAAAATGTCAGATTAAATAGATAAAAATGGAAAGCAAGATCAGACTGCAAATGAAATAACTTCCACCTCTGCTTAGTGTCCTTTTTAAATAGGGATTTATGTTTTTCATTGTGTTCATATGAAGCTGTTGGAAAGGCAATGTGGATTTAAAGGTCCCCTATTATACTGTTTTTCATCAACATATTATAGGTCTCAGATATATACAAAACAGGTCTCTGAAGTGTTTGGCTCCAAATACCAAACAGATCATTGCAGCATCCCATAATCCCCTCTGTTTCAGCCCTGTTTCAAAAGTGCTGATTCTGTGTCTGTTACTTTAGATGAAAATAAGGAGCCCCTCCCCACGCCCCTCTGAGAGATATTTGGTTAAAAAGAACTCAATGGTGCTCTAGGAGGAGATTCAGGTGGTAAGGTGTGTGTGTGTGGGGGGGGGGTTACCTTGGTTGGTTTTTGGCTAATGGTTACACAAGCCAAACAATCGTCATGACATCATAAAGTGGCCAAAATCTGATCAGCTCATTTTCAGACAGGTTTTAAATAAATGGATCAGGAAAAAAAAAACGAGCTAATCTTTTTCCTGACTTTCAGAATCTCTTTACACAGAGGGGACACATGTTTATGTATAAAAGACATGAAAAAGTGGATTTTGCATAATAGGTGACCTTTAAATCAAGCATTTGTATGTTTTGGCAAGAGGGGCATCATGTCAGGAATCCGAAAGCATGGACTAACATAATCAGTTGTTTTGTATTGTTGAATCAAAACCAAGAAAAACAGAATAAATTGTTGGATAATTTAGGTTCAAAGTCAAGTAGTTTAGTTATTTGGCTGTTACATATTATACCTTTAAGCTTGCACAAACTGTAAAACGGTACCCCTTTTTGTCAGGAAATTCAAAGTATACTCAATAGCCTATGTGTTATTTCACTGACACAACCTTAGATAGCCTATCTTAAGCTACTCCCGATATCCTGAATGTTGTTTTCTGTATGCAGCGAACCTGGCGGCGACTGACATCATCTTCCTGGTGTGCTGCGTCCCCTTCACTGCCACCCTCTATCCTCTCCCTGGATGGATCTTTGGCAACTTCATGTGCAAATTTGTTGCCTTTCTACAGCAGGTAAAGAATGACTCATGTCTTTTTTTTTTCTTACAGTACATTGCATTTAGCTGACGCTTTTATCCAAAGCGACTCACAATAAGTACATTCGACCAGGAAGATACAACCTTGAAGAAAACAGAAACATCTAAGTACATCAGGCATCATAGAGCCAAACATTTCAAGTACACAACCTTACTTACACTTTTCCTGGATGGGAAATGTGTTTTCACACTCACACAGTAGTGTTATATTGCAGCGATGACATTTTAGTCTTTTGTAACATCAGATGCCCTATCCAAGAGCAGAAAAAAGGGCACTGATTTTCTAACTCAATTATATTCTAGAGCCATCTCTATTCAATTTTTCCTTGAAAAGAGAACAGAAAGAAAGACGTTTCATCGACACAGTACAGTTACATAAATGGATATCCAAGCAACAACCAGCAGAAAAGATGGACAGGAGAAGAAGCACCAAAAAAAGAGTAACAAATATTTCTACAAGATGCAGTTAACTTTTTAAGAATTATTTCGATTTTGCGAGCATTATACCCTCGTCATGGGTTGTGAGACATTGGTTTTATATTTAGAGAAGAACAGTGTGATGCCTTGAGGTAGTGCTTTCTCCTTGTATACTGGTGACCATTGGAACTATTGGCATGGCAGCATTGTGTGACGCAACCATGTTAGACACAAACGTTTAGCATGTCAACATTGATTCTTCTCTGCATCGTCTACTCTGTGAGCCTGTGCTTCCTACAGTTTCCCATAACACCCTTGTCTGCACATGTTTGAAGACACATAGTGTGACTTTTACGAGAAGTATAATTCCAATATTCACTGTTCTTTTACCCTGGTTCAATTTCACCAACCATTAGGAAAGGTAACTGACTTTTTTACAGCAAAAACCTACAATATATTCACCATTAAGTCGCTAACTTTGTCTTTCTGCAGTTAAGTGCTAAGCAAATTGTGTACAGTGACTTTCTAGAAATAAGAAAGGTGTGATTTAACGACAACAACTTCTATGCAACCAACTTTAAGTTATTCTTTGCTCTGTTTATAGGAAACGATTCATTAGGACTGCAACCTGTTGACTCCATACAGCTTATTATTACTTATTAAAGAGGATAGCCAATTAAAGTGTGCTTAAATGCACACCGTGTGACAAGCGGTGGGTGTACAGCTCAGACAGTAAAGGGCCACAGTACTCTGCGACATGGTAATTACACTTACCCAGATACTATAAAATGTGATCTACAAAAAATATGCTCAATTGCCATGTAGCTTGACAAGGCTACAATGTCTGAAATACTGTAAGTGGGGGGTTACAAAAGATGGTCAGGTGACGCAAAAATCTAAACATACAGTACGTTGTACCCGGAAGAAAAACTTAAATATGCGACAATTAAATCTATTTATATTTTATTGGCTTACAATTGGACGTCATTCATTCGGAAGCAAGAAAGGAGGAGGGGACAACCTGTCCTATAATCCGATGAAGACATTTTCTTTTGAAAGCAGGATGACTCGATGTTCTCTGCTGACTTGAGCATAAAAGAGTTGGAGAAGTCAATCTGGCTGACAGGCAGGCTACCGTCACTGGCAGGCGGGCAGCAAAGGTTAAAAGCTATTTTTAATTAAAAACACAGGTACGTGATTTGGTTTATTCATCTGAGCATGAAGTTTAGTACCCTGTGAGCTTCTGGTGGAACAATGACTCCTTCTGAGGAAGTTGATTGAAGCAATTGTCTGTCAAGCTGGCCTTTTGTAGCTTTTTCTGATTGTCTCTGTATTTCATGCAACTATTCTTCTGTTGCTTTTATCTACAAACCCTTAATTTTCCTTTAAAACAAATGTTTCAGAAAGGCTGCAGTCGAATAGTCCATTTAGCATAGGAACCTTCCTAACCGAGTGAAATGACCCGGAAGTCCCTCAGTGGCAGCCATGATAAGTGCCGTTCCAATTCTCCAAATGAAAGGAAAGGAGGTTTCAAACTTCCTTTATAACCTCCTTTAGCTTAGGAACCACTGGACCTCCCTTACCGAAAGGAGAGGAGAAAATGCTGCCCCACAATGCCTTGCAGCCACAGCATTTGCCGTCACACAACAGTCGGCCGTTCACGGAAATAACCGATTATGACCGAGAAATGATATCATGAAAGTTACGGTGCTTATTAAGCTTTTTAAAACGTAGGTGGCGACTTGCCAAAGTTCATCAGTATTATAATCAAAAAGAGAAATATGAACGTTAGTTTTTACTGAAATTATCAAATAAAGTCAACATTTCACTGAGCTGTGTGGGGTTTGCTCAACTTTTAAAATATGTTTGAACGGTGATGTACACAGTGATAGATGTTAAGGACTAACGTTTATAATAAATACATTTGTATTTATTTTAAGATCTTTTCATACAATCATACGTATTGGGATCATTTATATTAATGTGGACCGGAGGGAGACGAGCATAAATTTCACTTTCCTTTTTTATTCCAACTTTGGTCATGAAGAATATGTTTCTCTGTTGTCCATGTTCATAAAGCATAAAGCAACAGCATCAGAGCACGGTGCAGAGTCTCTAGATGAGTTTACAGTAGTCCCTCGTTCTTATTAAACATCCATGTAGTCCGCTATAGAAAACTGTAGTTTCCATAGTTTCCCCACAGCAGCAGGCGCACATTTATGACGTCCGCTGGCACATCATAAACACGTCGGATAGTGAAAGTGCAGTCGGATTCTCTAAAGTACCGCAGTCTCTTCTCCTAAGTCCTTTTGAATTCTCCTATCGACTATCCCTTAACCCCGTGACGTTTCACTCAGAGGTCAAGGAATAGACGATAGGGTTAGAACTTAGGAGCTGATCTTTGGACTATTCGACTGCAGCCAAAGACCTGCCACCAAAAAATATTTCATCCGCAAAAGAGAAAGTTATAAATGTTTTCAATCATTTTAATG